AGCTTAACAGATGATGAACAGAGTATAAGTCAACCACGATTTCATCTAATCCAGTGGTAAGAGTAAAAAACGCCATAATTGAGCCTAGCACAATGCTCAGTAACTAAATCCACACCTTGCAAGCACTGGGATCCCACATGGACACCAGCTCATGTCTTACCTACTTACTTGAAATCCAGCTCTCTACTTATGACCTGGAAAAGCAGTGGAGGATGACCCAGAGCTTTGTGACACTGTATCCTTGTAGGAGACCTGAAGGAGGCTCCTGGCTTCAGATGGGCTCAGCTCTGGGGAAATGCAAGATTTTGTCTCACCCTCTCTCTGAAAATATGTTTCCAATAAAAATAAAACTTTTAAAATAAATAAATAACCTAACTTTAGGCTTAGTATCCAGAAAAATTAAAGAAAAAAATCTCTGATCTAGAGTTGACTTTTTAAGAGATAGGTAAGATGCAAGGTGATGGTTTGCAAAGCTACCTCCAAAAATTATCAATATAGTTAACTGATTTTCTAAAATAAACTTCCTTAAGCAATAAGTATCAGAGATTGACAAAACAAAGTTAAAATGACAAAGTAAAAACTCTGAAGTTGGGCCCGGCGGTGTGGTCTAGTGGCTAAAAATCCTCGCCTTGAACATGCCGGGATACAATATGGGTGCTGGTTCTAATCCCAGTAGATCTACTTCCCATCCAGCTCCCCGCTTGTGGCCTGGGAAAGTAGTCGAGGACGGCCCAAAGCTTTGGGACCCTGCACCTGCACCTGTGGGATACCCGGAAGAAGTTCCTGGCTCCTGGCTTCGGATCGGCATAGCATCGGCCGTTGCACTCACTTGGGGAGTGAATCATTGGACGGAAGATCTTTCTCTCTGTCTCTCCTCCTCTCTGTATATCTGACTTTCCAATAAATAAATAAATCTTAAAGAAAAAACTCAGAAGTCACACATAAGGTGACTTAATAGGACAAAAATTTTCAGTTAAGGTTCAAAGTTTTGCTACAAATCACCACTAAGGGCCAACATTGTGGCTCAGTAGGCTAAGCCTGCAATGCCAATGTTCCTAATGAACACAAGTTCAAGTTCCAGCTGTTCCACTTCCAAACCAACTCCCTGCTAACAGCCTGTGAAGGAAACAGACGATGACCAGAATATTTAGACCCCTGCTACCCACAAGTGTGAAAGATCTAGATAAAGTTCCAGGTTTCTGTCTTCAGCATGTCACAGCCCTCGCTGCTGCAGCCACTGGGGGAGTGCACCTGAAGATGGATGCTGTCACTCAACCTTTGAAGGAAATAAATATTTTTTAAAAACCCCATCTATTATTGAAAGCTAGTACAGAGAACACTTGTTAAGGGCACTTAAATATAACTAAGACTGAATTAAGAGCAATTAAGCAACTTTTTTTTGAAAAAAATAAAAAGACTTCTTTATTTTAATTGGAAAGGCAGGTTTACACAGAAAAGCATAGGCTGAGAGGAAGATCTTCCATCCACTGGTTCACTCCTCAAGTGGCTACGATGTCCAGAGCTGGGCCCATCCCAAACCAGGAGTTTCCTCCAGGAATCCCACACACGTCCCAAGGGTCCCAAGGCCATGAGCCATGGGGCCATCCTTTACTGCTTTTCTAGCCCACAAGCAGGGAGACAGATTAGAAGTGAAGCAGCCAGGACACAAACTGGAGCCCATATGGGATCCTGGTGATTGCAAGGCGAGGATTTAGGCACTAGGCTATCGCGCCAGGCCTCATCGTGATCAACTTTTACATGAAAATATCTTTTAGCTTTTCCAAACCTACAAAATATATGAAAAGACTTGTAATTTTAAAGCACCATGTCCTATAATATTAAAATCTTGTTTTTTGCTTTTTTTCTTAAAGATTTATTTTATTTTTATTGGAAAGGCGGATATACAGAGAGGAGAGACAGAGAGGAAGATCTTCCGTCCGATGCTTCACTCCCCAAGTGAGTGCAACGGCCGATGCTATGCTGATCCGAAGCCGGGAGCCTTCTTCTGGGTCTCCCACGCTGGTGCAGGGTCCCAAAGCTTTGGGCTGTCCTGGATTGCTTTCCCAGGCCACAGGCAGGGAGCTGGATGGAAAGTGGGGCCACCGGGATTAGAACTGGCGCCCATATGGGATCCCAGGCATGCAAGGCGAGGACCTTAACACCACTGCGCCACCGCGCCGGGCCCAATTGCTACTAATGTTAGGAACAAGGAATTGTTCTAACTCCACATCAATCCAAACACAGATTCCACTTCACTTGAAGCATATGCCTGTGCTCTGGAGTTTCTACATTGGACTTCACACTCAGAGTAATTAACTGAGACTATTTAGCTATTTTAGACAAAGACCATTATAAATCTAAGATAACTTTAAGTCAACAGGAAAAAGCAAATATACTTAAATTAAGGGTAGTCTCAAATATATCTCCTTCCAGCAATAGTCTAAAAATACTGTGTGGCTGTCTAAAAGCTTCAATGAGGAACACAGTTTGGCACATATTTAAGTGAGCATTGAAAAATTTCAGTCCAGCTTTATAACACCAAGTATTTTTCTAAGTAAAATATAATAAATAGCAGAGATAATACGTTTACGAAAGGGAAAGTTGGGAAATGTGTGATTGTTACATCACAACAGACACAGAAAAATATCTTAAAGCAAATAACATGTCAAGACCCACAGTTTAAATTTCATAGTCCCTACTGCAATTGTTTTCTCCAGTGACTTCCTTTTCCAGAAATCTAACTAAATTGATGATCTTAAGCCAACTCACAAAATAAACTACAAACTGTAACAGTAAAAAAAAAAAGGATCAGCTGTGCTAAATCAAAACTCAAAATCAACATCACTACTTTAAAAACACAAATATCCAAATGCTGGTCAACATACTGTTTCTCAATTTGCTAAAAATAACTACAAACATATATAATATAAACTCATACGATAAATAGTGCTGCATTGTCACAACGACGTTTTCCTCACTACAAGAAATTACATTTTGAACTCGAATATTGAAAGAGTAAGTTATCTCGAATATCAGTCTTTACAAATATATACAGTCTAGAAATTTAAAATTCTACAATACAAAGTGGAAATAAACAATCAGAAAATAATACACAAATGGTGGCAGAGTAAAATAGCTATTAACCTTCTTATTCAATCTGTTAAGTAAATGAATGACACTTGCAAATTTTAACAAGCATTTTTTTCAGTCAACATCCTAGTCCCAAGTTAGAATAAATTTAAAAATTTCTGAAACATTTCAGGTTTCAAGCACCGAAGTGCACTTGCCTACTGTTCCTCTCTTCGCAGATATCATGCGTCTTTATTGCTGGCATTTCCTGTTTCTAGAAATGAGCCGATAGCTACAACTCTGGGCAAGCAAGTTGCAGCGTCTTTTAACAGTTACATAAGTAGAGTGTGAAAACTAAAATGTGTAGTAAGTTCGCCAAAATAACCAAAGCACTGAATTTACTCAAGCCTTTGGCTTTTTTTTTAAGCGGACTCCAATCCACTAAACCACACAACCTCTGGAATTATAACCCTTGGGGCAGGGGAGCTCACGAATCTGGGGATATGACAGGCTAGGAGTGAAAGCATCCCCAGCTCACCGCGGGGAAGAGCAATCGCCGTCGAAAACCAAGGGCCGACGCCAGAGGCTTTTGGACTGCGAAGGCCCGCTAGCCAACACCACGTGAAAAAACGCCGCGAGGGAAGCTCTTCCGGGGACAGGTCACGTGCGCCCGGCCGCTGCGATCACCATGGAGGCTGCGGAGCCGCCGGCCTCCCTGCCCTCCCCGCCTCCCTGCCCTCCCCGCCCGGCCTCCCTGCCCTCCCCGCCCGGCCCCCTGGCCCTCTGGCCTCCAGTCCCTCCCGGCAGCCGGCACTCTGCCCGAGGCGCCCACGGCGTCGCACCCCGGAGGAACAGAGCCGGCCGCGGAGATTCTAGAACACGCACGGAAGCGCGCGGGTGGGCTCGAGACGATTCGCGATCCACGTGTCCGCTCCGGAGACGCGAGTCCCAGCAGCGGTCTTTGCGCGGGATCGCACTTTGGTTTCTCTGATTGTGCCATCAGTAGCCCCTCCCTTCTAACCTCTTCCACCGCTTGCTCTTAACACCGTTACCAGGGTTCCAGAGGCAAGGCAAAAAAAAAAAAAAATCGCCAATCAGGACACTACATTTTCCACTCTGGACCCAGTCTGGAATAAACCCTAACTTCTACCTGCGCACAAACACTCAACTTCGGGTATTGGTGCTCATTAAAGTCGCAGGCTTAAGTTCCTTCACAATTCAACAGAAACAAGAAGCCTCATAAACAGGGAATTAGCCAAAAGCTGCTTCACAAAGGGGAAAAAATAACACCTGTTCTTCCCACCTGTTTACCCCGCCCCGCTTCAGCACTTCAGGATCACAGGTCCTTTGTTTACAAAGTTCCCATCAGCTCCCTCTCCAGCCCTGCTTCACCAAGCTGGCGGGCCCGCCCCAGTTAGACTGGAAATTGCATGCAAAAAGAGACGCGGGTACAGGTGTCAAAACGCGGCAGCCGACTCCTCAGAGAAGCGACGCCGCACCACTTCCCTCGGAGTTTTGAAACCCCGAGACCGAAGCTCTGAAATGCGAAGCGCGCCCTCCAGGCAGTAGCTGGGAGCCGGGCCCGGCGCTGGCTGGCCGCGCGTCCCGCGGGCACGCGGTGCGGTGCCCCACGCACGCGAGGGCCGCGCTTGTCGCCCGCCCGCCTCGTGGCCGTCCGTGCCGGCGTCGATGCTCGCCGCGAGGTGGCCAGGCGCATGGCCGCGGGCGCGCGCCCGGTGACATGCGCGGCCTCGCTCGGGGCCGCGGGCGCGCGCCCGGGGCGGCCCAACACCAGGCCCGGCCCGGCCCGGCGTGCGAAGCTCGCTGCGCGGAACGCGGCTCACGCGGCTCACAAACACGAGCTTCCAACTCGGAAAACTCCAATCGGGCCGGCCCCAAAGCGACGCCCTCCACCCAGGCCCTTGCGTTACCTTGCGGGGCGTGGCGGGCCTCACCCCGAGTCCTTCACATCCAACGGGGGGCGGGTTATTCCGTTCGGTTCGCACACCGTGTGTCCGCTCCAGCTGAAGAGCCTGCGCGCGCACCGGACGTCCACGTCACCGCGCACGCGCTGCCACCCGCTTGCAGCCCGCCGCGCAGGCGCAAAAGCAGGCGCGAGCGGCGCCTCCCTCGCCCCTCCCCCGCTCCGCAGGCCGCTCGGCCGGGCGGCCGCGGCGAGACCCTTGGGACCCGCCCCCGCGCCGAGGCGGCCGGCCTCCCGGGGCCCGCCACGCACGACAGCCTGCGGAAGCTTCCAGAACCGAGGACGACGGAGCGGGAGCGAGGGACCCCGCTTCCTCAGCTTCGCCCTCGAAGCCTTCGTGCAAACCGTGGCAGCGCTGCCCGCCGGGCCCTGCTCCGCAGTGTCCTCGCCGCCCCGCCCCGGCCGCGCCCGGCCCCACCCCCGCCAGCCCCGCAGACCCCCTCGCTGCACAAACAGCCCGTCGGATGAAGCCAGCTCGTCCTCCCCCAGAAGGCACCTGAGCCTCAGGAAACCTTGAAGCAGAGACCTTGCTTCAGAGAATGCGTGCTCGAGCTTGACACAGACACGACGAAGACAGGGAGACCAAAAGCCTCCCTGCGGAACTGCAGACGAACAAGAGCTGACGTAAAGACCAGAGATGTCTTGATAAGAGTAACAAGATCGCCAGAGTATTATCTGAGCTTTAATGCCTTGATCCTGTTTATTCAGTTTTTGTCTCTACAAGAGACTTATCTGATGTACAGAGAAAATATTCTAGAATATCTACCATGTGTCCGGCAGTTGCTGAACCAAGTCAACGGACAATATGTCTGAAAACCAGATATCAAAATCTTGCTATTTTTCTCCTTTCCAACTCTTCTTTTATGCTGCTTCGATGTCGGGGTGGGGTGGGGGCCAGGAAAGCAGAAATTGTGGCTAAATATTCCACAATTGTTCTCGTTCACTCCCTTGGAAGAAGTAGCAAATACTGAGAACCTACTAGGCGTCAAGTGACTTAATAAAAAAAAAAAAAAAAAACAGTGATGGAGAATGAGAGAATGAGGAGACTGGGAAGAAGCAGTGGGCAGGCTATCCAACAGCACATTAGACCTGCCTTCCACATAGCAAGGATTCTCTTCTCGTTCAGCTCTTCCTAGGGACATATGCTGTAAAGTGGAAAGAACTTGGAATAATCTGGACTAGAAAATGTGAAGCTAAAATTAAACTTATAGACTTGCAAATGATTCTGAAATTCCTCTGGGTCACATACTGTCAGGAAGAACACTCATGATCCTAGGCAAAGCTGACAAATTTCTTTAGCACCTTTCTTCTCTTCCTCGACCCCAAGAACTTGTTTCCTAGAAGCTGCCCTGTTCAGAATATGCCACCTCAAACAAGAATGCTTTCTTGTCAAGGTTCTAGGGATTTCCTCACACAAAATTTTCCATTGCAGAACTCTAATTTGTGCTGATTTATCATTAAAACATGAGACCGTAGGTATGAATGAGTGTTTACCATTATGCATCGCAAATGAGCCCATTTAAACCGCGTGCTATCTCTGAGAATTTTGAGGAGGATGAAAGGGTAGAAGATTCCTTATTAAGACTCCTTATTGGCCCTCTCCCCACTGCACCCCCCACCCTCCAGGCAAACAGGAAATGCAACACTAAGCTTATTTCAACATTCAGCACCAGATCTGGTAGGAAAAACTTCTCAAAGCAGAATTTGCCTAACTTGAAAAGGCTGTATTCTCTGAGGGTCATCTGAGAACTTGCATTGCTTTTATGTGACAATCTAAAAATACTACAGGGCCTGGCACTATAGCATAGCTGTTAAAGTCCTCGCCTTGAATGTGCTGAGATCCCATATGGGCGCTGGTTCTAATCCCAGTGGCCCCACTTCCTATCCAGCTCACTGCCTGTGGCCTGGGAAAGCAGTCGAGGACAGCCCAGCTTTGGGACCCTGCACCAGCGTGGGAGACCTGAAGGAAGCTCCTGGCTCCTGGCTTTGGACTGGCTCAACTGCAGCCATTGTGGCCACTTGCGGAGTGAAACATCACACAGAAGATCTTCCTCTCTGTCTCTTCTCCTCTCTGTATATCTGACTTTCCAATAAAAATAAATCTTTAAAAAAAAGAAAAACCACTGCAAACATTTCATTGATCCAGTTTTATCATGCTGGTATCAACTAACCATTTTTTAAATTTTGTTTACTTTTTCAAGTAACTAATTATTCTTTTAATGGGTACAATAGTTTTCAAAATGAAATCCTGTTTGTATTTTTTGAATATGCAAGAAAAATGCATGCTCATATAAATCAAGGTTTAAAAACTACCACAGTAACTGCAATGGCTAAATTTAACCTTACTACTGGAATTACATTTAATTGGTAGTCCAACCTAACAAAGATCTTTTTTTTTTTTTTTTAATTTTCATTAGGAAGACTGACAGAAGCAGAGACAGAAATATCTTCAATCCAATGGCTCACTCCCCAAATGGCTTCATCAGACAGAGCTGAGCCAATCCCAAGCCAAGAGCTCCCTCCAAGTATTCTATGCGGGCGCAGGGTCCCAAGCTTTTGGGATGTCCTCTACTGCTTTCCCAGGACATAAGCAGGGAGCTGGAAGGGAGGTGGAGTAGGGGGCACAGGATCTGGTGCCCATATGGAATGCATGAATTTGGAAGTAGAGCATTGAGCCAGTTGAACCAACACACTGCCCCCTCATCAAGAATCTTCACCCTCATTTTCCTTGAACTTTCAGGAAGATTTTTATCACATAACAAAGGGAAGGAAAAAGCCATCAGTGAGACGTACAAGCAATCTGACATGCAATGTATAAAAATTTGATCTTAGACATTCTATAAAAAGGCACTGTACCACTTACATGCCTTTTTTTCTATTCAACAAATATTTGGTTGTTTGTTTGTTTTTTAATTTTAAGAATCTTAGTTGGGTCAAAGGGTCAAGGGCTACAGGGTGAAAGTGGGTAATATCATTGTTTCCACACTAATATAATCATTTTTTCCCTGTATCTGGGGTTAGGGGAGTAACAAAGGGAAAAGCCCCACCCAACCTCCCACCCATCCCCGATCCCCAACATGAGGCACGCTCCAAGGGTCCTGCTCAAACAGTTTTGATAGTTCATCAGTTCTGGATTGCTGCCAATCTCACCGTCCCAACCGCAATGAAACCTATTCAGAGTCCACTGGCTGACAGTCTCTTGATGGTTGGGGTTCCAAAATCAGCAGTTCAGTTGGAGGGATATCCAAAGAAACTTCATCTGAGATGATCCCAGATCTGATTCTTGCGTGAGTTTGCTAGTACAGACTCCAACACCATCCATCACACCAATCAGCTTATGCACATGCTGGTTGTTGTGATTGCTGGGTCAATTCTGTTTCCAGCCCCGTCTTCCTCGTGAACCAACGGGTGTTGTAGTCCAGCTCGATCCTACCCACTTCATACTCGGTCTTCATGCAAACCAGTTGGAGCTGCAGCCTAGTTGGGGCGACTCCCCAAAACCCCTACCAGTTCTGTCCCCTACCCTGGTTCCCATGCTTGCCAGTATGTACCGCAGGCTTGTCTAATCTGTCCCACATCCCATTTAGCTCTTGCATCCCATTTAGCTCTCGCATCCCATTTAGCTCTCGCATCCCATTTAGCTCTCGCACACGTCAATGGACATTGAAGCCTAGTTCAACCCAACCAACCTATTATCCAGCCCATACACCTACTGGCAGGTGCCTTTCTGTCTAGCCACCCCTGCCCCTATCCTGGTTTTCGTGCTGTCCAGTGAGGGTGGTAACCCTGAGGGAGGTGCCCACTATTTCCCTACTAGGCCACACCCACTCCCAGATTATGCAGTCTCCAGGTGGTTCTGGCATTTGACTTGACAGAATTAGCTCCCAGTACCAGCCTCTGCCAGCTAATGCTGTGGCTAAGCCCAAACACCCCTCAACCCACTCTAATTTTTACTTGCACCAGTCGGAACAGTCAGCTCACCGTGAGGCCCACAGGTGCTATAGCCCTGCCTAGTCTGAACTGCCCCCATCCCAATTCACGCTTTCCAATGGAAGTAGTTATCCAGCAGGGGAGCCCACGTTCCCCTGTCGGCTTTGCCTCCTCCCCGATTGTCACATGTGCTGTTGTGTGCTGCAACCACATCTGGTACGGCTCATCTCACCTTGGCATTACTTGTTGTGTACTGGTATGTGTTGCAACTGAACCTGGCTCGACCCACACTCTGTTCTGGTGCTCGGATTCACCAGAAGGTAATGTGAACAGGTTCAGCCTGGTCTGCCCCCAACTCATGCCATGTGTATGCCAGTGGGATAATTTCCATTGCCTGTTCTGGGTTGTTCCCTATTGTGCTTCTTGTGCTTACCTGCAGGGGACTGTGTCCTGCCAGAGGAGTTGCCCAGGCTCCTCTATCAGAACCTCTCCCAATGCCAGATTTTGCGCATACCAGTGGGTCCATGAGCCAGCACTACTCAGTTCACCTCCTGTCCTAGGAGGAACAGTGGCTTTTCCTGACTGGCCTTCGACCCAAGCTGGTTCTTGTTGTTGGATATTTCAACCCAGCCACGGCTCTTCCATACCCCCACACAGCTCACACATGGTTCAGTAAGGGCTGAGACCTAGCCTAGTCTGTCACACATCTCTCCCCGGTCCTCCAGAGCACCAGATGGTGTTGGAATCTGGCCTGGCTTGGTGCTTCCAGTCCCAGTCCACACTTGTGCCAAGTGAGATTACAATCGTATCCTGATCAGAATGCAGCCTCAGTTCCAGCCCATGCACTCCTTGGTGGGAAACTCAACCCAGCTAGGGTGTCCCATTATTTCCCCAACCGGGCCTATTCCCAGCCATAGATCAGGTGCAGGCCAGTGGTTGTTCTGTCTCCGCTTGGCAGAGCCCCTCACTTGTCCTGGCCCCTTGGATGCTGTGGCTTAGTGCCTCTGCCTCATGCAGATCAGTATGTGCAAGGACCTACATGGCATGAGCTGTGCTCCAACCTGATTTCTGTTGTTTCTTGTGAGTTAAGGTTTGTTCAGCCCTGCCCATTCTGCCCCCTTCCAGTGGCAGCCCGGCCCACCCCACATCCTGTTTAAAGATGCACATTTGGGTGCTGCTGCCTTGACCTACCCTGACTGTTGTGGGTTCCTTTAC